GAATTTCTGGTGGGACCAAGAAACGAGCTCGAAGAGCTTTACGTGTGGCAAGTTCATCATCCGTTCTGTCCGGGGGGGCCGATGATGTGGACGCGTAACGATCGAGTTACCGCTACCTTTGCTTCCAAAGCGGGATCCGCAGGGCGGAAACCATATTCCACACGAGGTTCAATGACCGACCGTGGATGGGCGCGCTTTAGTATCCGCCTTACGGGCAGCTTCAAGCTGCCGCCTCTGTTCCCCGTCGAGGTCATTAGTGGTCACACTATGTGCCTCAGTTGACGAGAAGTCAGGGAACGGACATGGGGTCCGCAGGACACGAGCAGGGCTCGTATCGTGCCGTCTAGCGCAGCTCATCATCCTCATTATCCCATGCGAGAAAAGGAGTGTCAGACTCATAGTCGACCACATCCTCAACGAGGCCACTCGGAACTGAAAGCGTGCGCGGAGTGCGACGAATGTGCTCATCGAGCCTAGGATATAGATATACACCACTCGGTGCAACGTCCGACAGTGCGTCCGCAGCACCGAGTGCGGGAGATGAAGTTGGGCTCTGCCCATGCTCGCCGTCAGAACCGGTGAGACTTGGAGATTTTGGTGTCATTGACACAGGGCTCATTGAACAAGGATGTTGTGTGTTCCAACAAATGGAGTTGCAGTGTCTAACGGACACGGGAGGCTCGTTGAGGCAATAATTGATTGGAACTGTAAATGTTCTTAATCTTAATGGGGGAGGGTGTAACGGAGTTACACGAACTCTAATGATAGGGGTGTGTACGTGTCACACGAGATGTGCATAATGTGACCACACACCCAAACAAGAATACGGGACAAGGCTAGGTATCCAGTAGTTATTCATGTATTTAAATTTTACTATATATATAAAGTATATTTAGGAAAATCTAAACTTTTAACATTAGGATAAAAATATAAATAAGAATCAGTTCCGTTTTTAAACATAATTGTTCGTTTGCCTTGGATTGCCTTGGTTAAGGCTTTAAAGTACTTTTAGAGGCAGCGGAATTCGATCCGCTGCACTAGAACTTAGCTCAAGCTCTCTTTTGCGAAGCGCCGGACGACCTCGGTCTTTGGGTATCACAGACGCCCTAGCTCTTAATGGCTTACAGTCCTGCAGTGTTTTATTTCATGTAATCTCGAATATTCACATGTTCTACGTGACAGCTGTCGCGTTTTGTGTCTGCACTACAGAGACTCATCTTTCTTACAAAATTAAATTAATAAATCACTGCGTAGCATCTTGTTTTGACCTTTCAGTAGACCGTATTTTGAAGTGTACCAACCCGACCATTTCAATCACGGCATCGTATATCGTATTCAGGCCTTTGAACTGATACAGTGCTTTTTCGAAAGGTCCAGTGAAGCTTACACGACTACCCCTGTAGCGGAATATCCAAAAATATGATAACCATACTTGGCATACTCAATGTAGTCGCATGATCCAAACCCATTCAAAAGAAAGGCGTCGCACATTGTCGTAACAAAATCGAGATTCTACCTGGCTTCATTCGCCGTTATCAATGTCCAATAACCTTGGGCTACTAGCCCTTGCTGTCTAAAAGAGCGTCATTCCCTTCAAACTGAGTCTCATTGCTTTCCGACCTCCACAAGAAACAAAAAAGAGCTTACTTGTGCAGTAGCTCGCTCTGCACCAACTTAGACTCGTCAATTTCGTATAAAGTTCTGTCAAGTGACTCTGCATTGGAGCTTTACCGTCTTGTATCTACGTAATGAAGCGTAAGGGACAATGGCATGAACATTCTCGAAGTTACATCACCTAAAGATTCCAAGACTCTGCTGAGGAATGTCGAAATTCTGGTCAAAGTCCACATCTTTGAAAATGACTCTTCCATTCACAGCTGAATTTTGGCACACGTGATTAACCTGCAAGCCCCGCGACTTTTGTCATTGGAGTACTTCCCATTTTAGAGGCCCCGTTAATCGAGAAATCACACGTTAGTGGCCACTTTTGCGCGCGCACTCTGCACAATTTTTTGTTATGTATGTGTAGAATAGGGCGAAGCCTTTGGCAAATAAAATCTCTTGTGGGAGTCAGTCTATCTTCGCCTTTAAAACTCATATGCTTAACAGGCGCGTATTGCGCTTAAGAATTATGTAGCAGCACCAAAAGAAATTATTTTGATCGCCTTGAAACGAGCAGCAACCGCTTGCGAGCTTTGGGTCGCCAGTACTAGAACACGCTGCTTTCAGGTGACTATTCCCCCCATCTGTCAGTTCATCTGAATATTTATAAACATTATTTGATCGCGATCAATTTGGTTTGCCATTCCTGACTATGTAGCTACGAAGTATCGACATGCGATCTTAAACTGCATTGATTCAGCAAAGTATGTGATTTTTTCGTCTTGTCCATTAGATGTAGTTACAAGCTTGAAAATCATAATGGTTTAGCTTAATCAAAACCAAGTGCTCAGCACCGCCACAATCTCGTCAATAAACTTAGCGCTTTGTCCAAGTGCCGTGGATACTCTTGGGCGTGCTGTATAAATCCATGCTGAATATATTAGTGCTGGGTGGAACATGTTCGTTGCCCTTTCAATTTTGAGTAAATGCGACGAGCACCCCAAGGCTTATATCAAAGCATTTGTTGATGCTTAGCCGCAGTATCAGCGATACAATAAAACGGCTATAATAACGCAACGTCAAAGGTTAGAATGAGATTTGCTTCTGCCTCCAGCTCATGCTGAAACGCTCTATATCTTTATTTTGATACAGCTACCGACAAAATGTTAATCTTGAAACAGCTGGGCATACTCTCAAGTGCGAAGCTCGTTGTGTTGGACCATCCCGTAATTACCCCATAAGGAATGATGATAAATGGTTTACCAGGCTATAACTGACGATGACGCCACGTTAATCTGTCTCGGTGGTAGTATGAGATCTTTAAGTAAATATAGCCCCATATATTCAGATACTGGTTGTGGCTCTGGTGAGTGCACCAAGCTACAACGTTTCCACATTAATGCGGCTCTTTTTGCTCGTCAAAAAATACAGTTGAGTCACATGTCATCTCTGTTTGGCCACACTGAGCCTTCAAAAAAATTTCAGCGCGCGTCGGTCCATCCGACAGTCTCAGTCGACCGTCTTGGTGATGCTTTTTAAATAACCGCAATTGAATTGAAAGGCTTAAGGCGTTCTGGTGTTTTGGAGCATAATATAGCTCAGATACTGGTTTCAATATAAAAACTTTCATCTCTATCAATATGCTTCGCGTCGGCAAGTGAGGGGTCCTAATATAGCCTAAGTGAGCCCACACAGAACATGTAATATACTCATATCCACTCAGAAATACCGATATGTTGCCTAACCCCCTTTAATCTAATATAGCGAGGGTACAAAAAGCATAAAATAGTAATTAACAAAATTATATCATTTACGTCAAACTTTTCTGTTTCAATACACTGCTATTGTATGCGCTGGATTTTACGTTCCAGCCGTAACATCGCACACGTTGTTGATAATGACCGCTCTTCATTTATCCAAAATTAAACTTGCTTGAAGGTTGAGCCGGGTAGAGATCGGGTGGGCGTTTAGTATAGACCCTTTTTAACCGGGATTTTGCTATCCCGAGGTGGCGTAAGATTCTGCGAAAATTTGTTAGACGATTTTTGGAAAAATGTCGTGATAACATTAATTGCGTGAACAACGCAAAATCAATGATTCAATCGTATAGCTTAGCGCATGTGCATCGAATGGTATTCTTCACCGAGCTAATAGCGCAATCAATTTGGCCGTATGGTATACGGCAATTTGCTTTATATAAAGCTTTCCAAAATTTTATTGGAAAGCGCGGGTGTTAATACAGGTCAAATGCTAGAGAGTAGTCATGCTGGAGAAAAATAGCCATGTTGCAGAATGTCGGAGAAAGACTTGGTCTAGAAGCCTTTTGTTTTATCTCTGCCGGAATAATTCTTGCTGACAGCAAGAGGATGGATCATTTTTCTCAAGCGTTTTACAAGATTAGTATTTGTTGATGTGTCTTTTCGAAAGAATAAATATAAAATTCATAATAGTGTACTATCATTTTACCGTCAGAAGTGGCAGGCTATCGACAGACACCAAAGTACGACGAGGGATTTCTTTTTGATAACTCTCAAACGTGCGCACATATTTGCGTTACCAGTTGTGTATGTTGGGCCACCTGTGCGTCTTTCTCTACTTATATGTCCACCCAGAGAATTGATATGTCATTCAAACAAAATTCTGTTTTTTGCGATAGGAACAATCGCACAATGAACTTTATGTTATATCCCATCAAAAGCAATGCAAGCGCGCTCATTAATTAAGTAACATCCAATTACAAAACGCCTTGCTTCCCAATTTTTCAGTTTTACGATACGTGGTATGTCCTCCCGACGTCAGGAGGATAGCATCAGTATTTTTTGGGTACAATCTCCGTTATGGGATAACATGTAGTTTGTGCGACGTGAAAGCAGTTTCTTCTCCCAATTTTGCTGAATAGGAACAAACTACACACAAATCTTATACTCGTGAAACAGCATGTACCATCATTCCCATTCTGAGAGATGCATGGTGATAATGTCGTCGTACGTAATGACGCATGGTCTTAGTCATCACGAATGATTTCAAGCCGAGCGGGTGTACCCTTAATTGAAAAAAACATTATTATAACAAGTACCATCTTGACGTAAGCAGTAAATTTATCTTATACAGTTCAATCTGGCACAACTAACGCATACAAGTCTACCGTCAGTAGCACGAAGCACACTGCATCCAATGGCAAAGGTCAATGCAACTTAGACGAAATCAGTGGTCGATACTGATCCAGGAAAGCCAGAATCAAGGCCCAAAAATGGCTTATCTGGTTAAACCAGAAACCAAGCCCTCAAGTGGCGTATCGAGGAAAGCTAGAATCGAGGCTCTCAAGTGGCTTAACTTAGCGGCAAGGAAAGTTTTCCTTGCAAAATTCGAAAAGAAGACGTTCCATACTGGCAAAGGTTGCACAATCGTTGTGCAAATATTTGGCCAGACCAAACCGCACTCAAAATTCACATTGAAAGAGTGGCATCGGCCAACTGCAATGGTCATATCCTTTGCCGATTCTACCCAAAGATCATGCTTTACAATGGAGCAGCCCAAGACGGGTGGGTTCTCGTAAGAGTCACGACGCATATGTAAACATTGATAAGCAGCTGATCAACGTACATACGCTTAAACATACCTCAGGATCTAAATTTACGTTTCACTCGCCATGCCTAGCATGACTATCGATGAATATATCGTTGAAACTGGTCTGTGCATATGCACGATGCAGCTAAAAGGTTTTTGCGAGCATATCGCTGATGCATACGACAGACGCTGGGACGCTTTTAGAGTGTCCCACTCGGTGCATTCAATGCATGTCCTCATTCAAATGCGTTGAATGAGGAGTCACCACTTTGTACAAGTGAATGATAACGCCCATCGGCTACGTCGAGAATATTTTCATACTATAAGCCATCATGCCTTTCCATACAGCACTCTTTTCAGGATAATTTTATGCGTTGGACCAGCTTTCCGAAGAGAAACAGTATTTTACACTTCCCGTTAGCTTTTCTGTCTCAAAAAGCTGACACCGAGTGGGATTCGCACGAAACTGGGCTCGCTCTTTGCATATATAATAGCATCTATGACATTACACGGCTACTTGCTAAAGCTGTTGACAAGTACAAAATATTTGACTCCAGGTATCAGTAAATGTATATATTCGAGGGTAACACCCTTGACGAGTCTCTGGTTACCGTCGTTTGCTCGATTTATTTTCCAACCGCTGTATAAAAACAAACGTGTTTCCAAAGCAAATTGACACACTCAAGCAATACAAAGGTGATATAGCGCCAGAATAGCATATTATTCTGATTTAAATCAGAGCGACAACAGCCCGTTTTTCAGCTGTTGTAGTGAAGTACAGGTGACACACCAGCACCTTCTTACCACTTTAAAAGCAAAAAAGGACAATTACGGTTCAAATGACAATGTTAGTTTGCAAGACAAGTACATTGCGGCCATCATCCTGACGCTTTTTGCCACCCCGCATCCAGATACGGCAGATACCCCTGAGCCGCTGTATAAAGTAAGATAAATTTTGGTTGCCGTTTATACCTTCCTACTGCTCTTACCATGAGCATGCTTCATAGGGCGACTTTTGGAGCAGATTTGCGTTAGAGGAGGCTGGCAAACTAACCAAGATCTGAACCATACGCGCAAAAAGCGCAATAATAAAGGATTATGTTAAATTTTTTTGATGAGACACAATTGCCAAGGATTTTTAGTTAGATACTGATAAAAAACCGTGTACCAGCGCGAAAGCATGGGGATTAAAAACCATGTTCACCGCAACTCATCGTCAATAAATCTAATGCTCATTGTCATGGATGGGTTACTGGTTTGAATATGATCTATTCTCCGTGGAGTATGAAGCACAACAAACGATTAATACCAGTTATAATATGAATGACATCATATTTGCAGCTGCAGTCGTCATGATACCTGATCGCCACGATTAATAGTCACATATGGATTAGATTCTACCATGGAAGTTGCAATGACGTTGAAGTCCACCTTACACGAAGGAGGCTTGATGCCAGAATTCAGCGTTAACAAATTTCAGAGTGCGGGTTTTACGGTTCAGCCAGGAGGGAAAGTGTTTTCCTTCTTGTACTAGCCATCCAGCTTGTTCTTCTAACACATTAAAATTAATCTATTATAACGATAATTCTAACCATTTTCTGTTTATGTATCCATCGTACGCCTAGTTGTATTGCTTGACGTGAGGCTAACAGCCCATAGGTTCATGTATATCCCTTTTACAGAATCTTATCATCTTCATTAGTAGCGTTACTACGGTACTTCCAAAAATTCACAAAATATTAGATGAAGTTTGAGTTTCGTTTAATCGTACACAAGTGTAAGGCTTAAGTATACAAAAGTACACGAAGTACCTCATTACAAGCTCCCACTTATGCCACATTAAAACTCAAACTTTTTTTGTAGTGCTCCAGCTAATTGATCAATCGTGAGAACGCATTGCGTTTTAAGTCACTTCATTTCTTGTACCCTTTCCTTGCATTGCCTGCTCCTACAGGTATAGTTACTTCAAGAGTCTCCTCATTTTCTTACTGTCGATATGGCGTAACGATAGGCGGGCTCTTCTAGGATAAGCATTTATGGCTAATTCTTGTGAAGAGCTAAAGCTGTTATTGATGTGAGCGGCCAGAATTACTGTCAAGGTATCTTTACAACGCTTTTGGCCTCACTGAGAGTGAGGAGGAGGCGACTTCGACGCTCCGCCCCCCCCCCTCTGCATGAATTGGTGAACTCTGTGCTCATTCTCTTTGGGGGAC